ACCCAAATAATGCCGCATTGGAACTTGAGCTAGAGGGGTATCTGACTCTTGACACATTCAGTCTGGTACCTGTGACGTCCTGACATGTTTTACTAAAGACCCAAATAATGCCGCATTGGAACTTGAGCTAGAGGGCTATCTGACTCTTGACACATTCAGTCTGGTACCTGTGACGTCCTGACATGTTTTACTAAAGACCCAAATAATGCCGCATTGGAACTTGAGCTAGAGGGCTATCTGACTCTTGACACGTTCAGTCTGGTACCTGTGACGTCCTAACATATTTTAATTAAAAATCCCAAACTCTCTTCTTGGAACTTGTCAGAGGTGACCTCAGACCAACAAGATCAGCCCTTTGATAAAAGGTAATACATTCACGTGCAAAAGCACTGTTGATCGTGGTCAAGGACGCGAGCGTACTTAGCTGAAATCACCAGAAGGGTATGGAAACGGTTGCGTGTGGATGCTGCAGGGAGTACTGTCAGCGGTAGAGTGGGTAGCACTCGATATGCAACGCGAGTCAGAAAGTATGCAAATGGATGTCATTCGAATCTGGGCAAGACACTTAAGGACACGGCATGTATTAAGCCTGACTCCCTGCACTAGCCTCAGGAACTAGCGAGTGCCAACATTATGTTACCAACAAACAAAAAGCCTGCAAGAAAATAGTAAAAAAATATATATATAAATGCACGGCATTGCGGTTAAAATTGCGAGTCCTGGAAGCCCCCAAATAGAGCTCGTGTGTGCAATTGTGCAAATCTGGTTCATTTAATCATCGGCGGACGATGCAAATTTGATCGGACATCTCTTGAAAGAGAAACATTTGGCCGGGATTGATGCGGGAGACTGTTGGAAATCAAGACTACATTAACGTTCGTTCAGTTGCATGTGGTGAATTTATTATCATTTGGCCCAGACATCCAGCCCTGTTAACCCTTTTATCGTTCATATTTATTTGCAAACTAGTGTTGGGTGGGGATGATTTGCGCCTGTATGTTATGGCTTTCAATGTTAATACAGTTTTTGTGCATTGACCCGAGAACACAGTTTTTTAATTGCCTTTAAAATGTCATGTTTGTAAGGGGTATTGGATGTGGTGACAAGTCACGATATAGCGACAGAGTATAGCGACAGATTATATGAATATCCTGAGAATACAGTGCTTTAAACAGGCATTGTGCAGACTTGTTTGCTGTTATCTCCCATACAATGCCATTATTTCATTCAATAGACTATACCTAGCTAATATAAAGACATCGCAATGTAGGATTGTGCGTCCACAGTGCAGTGACGGTTGATCTGTTTTTGTTACCGCAATTTTAAATCATTTCACTATTTTCGGCCTCAGCAGACGAAGGAAACTCCCACTTCGTTTGGACGCGTCAGGTTGACAGCCATCATGTTTGAAGAATCTCAAGTCTTGGTGTGCAGAATGCATTTCATAATCCTCACTACCATACCAGTCTGACCTATGGAACATGAAACATGACCGTGAAACTCGCTGGGGAGTAACCGGACAAATAACATGGCTGCCTCTCGTGGATAAGGTACAACCGGAAATTAACTTCACTCATCTCCGATCGTATTGTTGCGCGCACTGTGCTCCGCGTTCAGCATTCTTCGCGACAGTACGTAACCCGTCTAGTCCAAGTCTAAGAAATAGTGAACTTGAGCAGAAAAAAAGAACATTCTCTCCACTTGTTTCCTGTCGTTACTTGGACTCGACTTGTGCAAACACCTGCAGGATTTTCACATGACAAACAGGCTCAGCCCGGTCTTAAAGGTAGATCCCCTAGCGGCTACACCAAATGATAGTTGGGAGTCAGTCCCGGAACGTGTCGCTTGTAATGGCGTCTGGCCTGTCAATGCATGACTCGACGTTTGATTGTGTAGTTAACGTTTAATGTAGCTCTCGATGTGCCTATGCATTCATTAGGATCTTTTATCGCAGAGCGACAATTTGTTTGGATGTTGCCTTCATCCTGAAAGCGCAAAGGGCGAGCTCTAAGCCATCACTTATTAGTTGAGCGATGGACAAGTCTGTCCGTACCTTATCATTTTGTTAGCATCTTTTCCGATTTCTTCAGTTTTATTGGGCAAGATAAGCTTGCTGGTATCAGTCCTCTTAATGTAAACCACAAGCCCAACAGCACGCGCGAGCCAGTGAGATTTCACTTGGACAAAACTTGTCGTGTAAGTACAAGGGGCAATATGTAAACTGTGGCGACAATCCGTACCGCCTGATTTGGACACAAAATGGCTTCCATTTACGGAAATGGTTGCAGTTTGTGTTGGCACCTTGTTGAGGGGAAATGAGGCACTCCCCTTTCTTGTCCGTCTTGCAGTCCACACATCTCTGTCAACAACGCAAGAGCAGTAGGTAAAGAGGATAGGAAATATATAGGCGTGCGTGGACTCCGAGTCCTCCGTCTGCTCTTCTTCTTGTTAGTGTAGCTAAAACAAAAAAATCCCGACTCCGAAATACAAACACTCTTTGCAGGCATCTTCTCATTCCTCGTCAAATCTTCTGCTGCTTTACATGCAGCAATGGTTCCTAATGGCGCCTGAAAGAGGGCCGAATGTTTATTCGGGGACAATGCTGTATACCTCGACTCCGGCATAGAAGCTTTTTGTGGTCGCCAAACCTTCTTCTGCTTGCAACAATATTCCAGTTTAAATGCCATGCACGACTCAGAAAACAAGGGACTGATATTTCGTGTTGTAGAAGAGAAGAGCAGCTTTTTGAGAAACATGTCGAGTTAAAGTTGAGTCAGTGTGACTGTCAGTTTCGATTATAATTTATGATACTTTTCAATACTGCCCGAGCAGCCCGAAGATTGATATGAAAATGCGAATTGGTACACAATGTCACTGATTTCGTCCTCGATATGTATTCTTTATTTTCATTTTGTCTTTATCCAGTCGTATTCAGAACTGTACCTCAATGTGACTTTTGCTCCAGCCTGAGAAATGTTGTTACAACTTTAGAATGAATAATGTATACAATATTTTCAATCTCCATGAGTCGCATCATATATCATAAGTACCCACAAGCACACATGTTTGCTGTGATTCATTGGAACCCCACTGCCTTGGAATACTCGTCTTTAAGTTATAGCATAACTTAAAGACGCCTGGCGTTGGACGCTTATGAAACATTGACCGCACAAACATAGCACTGCCAGCTGCATTTTCAGAGAGTCGGCAGCATAACATTTATTACTTTTCCGGGTTGAGATGAAACTCAACACAAACCGGTAACAAGGTTGTACCAAGCAGTATAGAAACAGCAGGATACGTTTCAATATACACCCAATGTCACTTAATCAACCAACTAACACACCCGGGGGTTCTCAGCGCGACCGTATACATCAAACGCCCCACAGCCTTCATCAAACACCTGTGCTATCTGCAGTAGACGTGCGGAGATCGGATGAATGCCCTGTGGTACACAATCGTTTTGACACGCGAGGGAAGTCGGTGAATCAGCACCTGCTTACTCCTTCCGATACGATGGGTTCCCTGGCCTGGCTGCAGGGCGTATATTATATTCGGCTTCCACTTGAACACCGTAATACTGTAAACTAGCAGTACTACATTATACGGGAGGTGTCTGATATGTGCTAACCTTGTAATTTGGATGGGTAAATGTCTGTCTTACGTACGTTTACTCATTGGAATCCATTTTCTCTCCTCTCTTTTCGGGCTTGACCATTACTGCATACTTAAAATCCTACGTTCCAAGTGGTTCTGAAGAATACTTTCACACGGGAAATACCTTTATATGTACCAAATGAAAAATACTTTCACCTTGATTCTCTAATATACGTGACGACCATGAGCTGATATTAACAGTCATGTTTTATCGCAAACTAGCACATTAACATTGAGGAATCTCATTGCTGAGAAAGTAACAAGCAAAACATGTAGAACGGGTTTAGGGATAGAAACAAAATTAACGATCGAACAAATGAGATACGACCGTGCATCCCACAAATTAGTAACGGCATGGAAGCATTACGGCAAAAGTAAATCATTTTACGGGTGATGAAAACCGCCTACGAGTTTTGTACGATAATGGCTGAGTCTTGCATTCCACAGGCGCTCGTCTTTGATCGGAGAGTTCTGGAGTTGATAAACAATCACCACACATAATTTAATGGACAATTTTGTAAGTTGAATGCCATTATAATATAAAATTTTCTCAGTTGTATATCGATTGTTTTATCTCTGCACCTGTTATATCATTTATGGCATGAGCGTAGGATCAAAGAATTTTTAATACCTTAGTTTCTCCCCACCGTGCGGTGTCGCAAAGCGAGAGGGACGAAGAAGCGCCTCTGGTCCGCGCGGTGTGCAGAGACTCAAACAAAGGAAACAGCGCCCTTGGCATGCAGGCTGCATCAAGGACCCTCGGTCACCTTGAGAAAGGCGTCGTTACCGCAGGAAATCTCAAGAGAAAGCTGGCGATCATGTTTGGTGCCAATTCACGCGGGTTTCAGTTTTCTTTTCGTCTCTCTGACTTTAGGTATAGATAAATGCGGGTGACTTTTTAGATCTAGCTGGGACGTTTTACTCGCGGCAAGGCGTCTGTAGGCTGCTTCGTTGGTGTACTGAGTAACTCTAGGCTTAATTGTTGTCAAGTTATCAAACATTGCCGGGCATCCCTGCAATTTCGTGGTAAATCAGCACTTTTTATTGGAATAAAATAAAATGACGGATATTATTAGGATGCAATTTGCCCATGGATACCTATTTGCCCATTTCTCTCACGAAATTTGACCATTTGTTTTGTCTTAGGACTGATAAATAGGTTTGTACGTTATCCTGTTGTACCGTCTTTCAGTAGGTGGTGATACACCTGTAAGTTGGTTTGTCCCCCACACTACGTGCTGGCCAACTCACCACCGAGCAGACTACATTTATATTGACGGGTCAATATAGTCTCATGTATCATCATTGAAACTTATTCCACCATTTGCTATGTGTATCCACAGGTGCTGATATTCTTATTGGTCACTGTGTCCTCGACATACGTGAAGGCTAGTAACACCACCGACGTCCTAGAGACCAATACTACCGAGGAGGTCGACCCAACGCCAGAGACCAACATGTCCTTCCCATTCTTCGCCCCAGTCAACGGCACCGCCGCCCCGTCACCGGGACAGACTTCGCCCGCTCCGCACTACAACACCTCGCGCTTCAACGCTTCGTACTTCGAGAGCATCTACCAGATGTACCATGATCACATCTTGGAAACGGAGGGTTTGGTGGAAATCGGCGAGGAAGCGCAGTGCAATATAAGGGAGCAGCTGGAAGATATATATTTGGATTTTGATGCACCAGAAGAAGGTAATATACAAACTCCTGGACTGACTTTAGTTTTGCAGTATAAAGTGGATGCGCACAGAAAATTTATTTCCAGAAAGAAATGAGCCAAATTGTCAGTTGAGGTAGTACTGAAGCACTATTTCCGGCTGTTTGTTGGACAGCATAGACATTTTATTAATGTACAAAGCAAAGGAGCTCTGGCTTTCCGAGTTTTACACCTTATTAAACGAAATCATTCTCAGTTACAGCAGTTCGACGTTACAGCGGCCTCAGTGCATAAGGTCACATTAAGCCTATGACTTTTGGTTGTGCATTAGGACGCTACTGTGGCAGCTTTTGGGACACCATCATGTGTTGGCCTGCAAGCGCCCCCGGGGTCGTCAGTCGACCGTGTCCGGAGTTTTTCAAAGACATTTACTACGATACATCAAGTAAGATAATTATACATGCATTTAAAAAAATTAACCTTTTGATAAATGCTTAATTTAATGACCTATTTCAGAATTGAAGTAATGCTCAGTGGAGCGATACCACTACCACATTGCAGTTTTACCAAAGCATGTAGCCATGCCCCTTTTCGTCCGAATTACCTCTCTTTTTTGTGTCTGGAGTGCCGCGGCCTCGTGGTCTGGAGCATTGAATTCGTGTTCTGCGGGTAATTCTGCAGGTTGTGGGTTCGAGTCCCGCCTAAGGTGCCATTGGGTAAGGCACTTTGTCACTCGTTGCTTCTCTCCACCCAGGAATACATAGATACATGTGAGGGCAGAGATGGTTATTGTGATTGATTTTAGCTGCTCTGGGCCGAATTGGCATCATCGAGCTGTATACTCCACAGGGAGCTGAGATTGTCGTTGGAATGTTTCAGTGGCTCAATGAGCAGGGTAATAATGATGTAGCGGCACATTATTATTTAGAGACAGTCTCTTCACAAAATGTATCCGAAAATGTTTCCTATACTTCGCAACTTGCATTTGTTTCGAACCAGAACGTAGAATATGCCCCGGGTCTCAGATTCAGTTCAATGAAGCAACTCTCATGCTTTTCCAGGACTGGAAAAAAAAACTAACAACAGTGTCAGAACGGAGCCAGTGCTCATTTTTTACGAAAGTACAGCGTTGCACGAGTTGCGTCAAGAATTTTAACAAAAATCTGCAACATTGCGCAGCATGTTCAATGCTAGAGGAGTTGTGATCGTTTGGCTAGCGTACACAGCCAGCAATGTTTTCTTTGGTTGTGCTCGCTGGCTGTACAAACCCGAAGGTAGCCGCACTAAATAAACTTTTGCTCTGCTGATCTGAACTTTTTCCCCCGCGTTTGAAGCTCTGGGAAAGCGTGCACGATTGTTTTTCTTTAATCAAATGAAAACGTGGGCGTGCGATCGAGCGAGCGGCTCGCACGATCTGCCCCGTGCAATCGTGTTTGGTTTGCCGATCCGCGCCAGCGATGGTTTGTTTGCGACAGGTTAGATAGTCCTCATTTATTGGAAACATCGTCCATTTGGCAGGGAGAATTCCAAATCTCGCCTTCCGTCTGAAACCCTTAAATCATCCCTAATCACATCTCTGTTTGCAAAGTGTTGGAGCAATGACGTCATGTCTTTCGTCAGGATAAATATGGATTGCCTTGTTATCGTGCCATCTTTCCCCATTTCGACTTCGAGCGTTGGCAACGACTTACTTCTAAACAGTCATTATTTTTCGGAGGCGATAAGGTACTCTGATGTTTATAAATCGCTCTGTCAACGCAAAAAACACTATTAATAATCCCCGTGTTTGCAGATAAGAGTCCTGAACGATGCAAATGCGTCAATAATCTCAAGAAAATAGGTCTGTGAACGATGCAGTATGCCCCATTTATCAGTTAGGAGGTTTCTCATGCTTTTGGCGCCATTTTGAAAAAAAGTAACTTCTGTTTTCCCGCGATTTTTCGTCACTGCGACTTTTGTCTATCGCATTGCAAAGTTTTAAGTGCTTTTCACTCGGCTACTTTTCACCCGCCGGCGCCATTTTTGCCAAAGATGATATGATCTTGTTCATTGCACTTTTCTCATATATCTAGTTTTGTTTCTCTTCTTCCTCTTCTTCCCTCTCTTATCGCAGTCAACGTAACCAGATACTGCAATCCGGATGGCACTTGGGGGAACGAAGACAAGTCCAACTACTCCTTGTGCACTCCGAAGCACACACCGGTATTTACACTGTCTTCTTCCCTTCTAATGTACTAAGAGGCATGGCCTATATTGATGCGCAGCACTGATTATGTGGTCATCTTGAGAGTTTGTATTTCTACTTTGCCCGTCTCTGGTTGCACTTTGAAAATGCCACGCTATATTCCATCCAATACAGTTGACTTTTCTTGGCAACAGTCGACTTAGTAAACTTCCAACTTACAACCTGAAAACGTGTACTTAGTGTTGTGACTTTACCAATCTTACGATGTGTCCACAAAAGTGCTGCAAGTTATTTACTCAACTCTGAGGCTTGTTGTGTGAAATAGCAGTGATACATCTAGAGCTAAAATAAAAAAGGTCAACATCCAAGTTTAAATAGCCTTGATTATATTAAGGTACTGCGATTGTAAGGAAATTGACATTTCCATGAGGCATCTTGCAGGAGCATTAACCTTACAAACCTCACCCAATGAGGGTGTGAATCTTTTACAGCCTGGTCTCATTTTACGTGTTTGCAACTTGCGTATAGTGATGACATCGAACTTTTGGTACAGTTTGGTAAGACATCTGAGCCAGGGATTTTGTCACCTGACAAAAAGCTGTGACTGTGACTTTCAAATTTATCTTCGAATCAAAAATATAATTACAAGATTCCATTCATGTCAGGTAGCGATCAATCTCCAAAGTTCTCGCATCAATCCTTAATTTAAAATAAATGTGGAGACCTGAAAAATGTAGCAACAAACCACAATAACAACACACTTAAACTGTTTTAAACTTGGAGGTACTCAGTTTTTTAGTATTAAATCCAAAGATGATGTCTAAATGCGTATTTTAAAGTTGTCGACGAACGGATCGCAGTATGGCAATCGTTTTTTCTTCTAAAGACCCTTTTCAATTTTGCCTTTTTACAGGATGTTAACGGCTATGACGTAGCGTTAGAAGTCATGGTGTATGTTGGTTATAGCCTCTCGTTTACCGCACTCGTGGGGGCCTTTTGCGTCTTCTTATTCTTCAGGTGAGTTGGGTTGAATGTGATTTGACTTTCACTTCTAATCATCTTTACATTCTTTTGAATTTACATACTACGAAAATCATGCTAAGGAATATTTTCGTCTTGACAGGGCAATGACATTTGGCGCTGGTCATGGAGATTTAGTCTGTTAAAGAGTAAAGGCACTGAAAATACATTCAGATTCAGCTTCAAAAAATACTTGGATTCCAAGCCTACGTCTTGCAGAAATGATTTTCAAAATCAGTAGACCGATCTCATTAAGCTCCGCCCAATTGTCAGTTGACCAATCACGACCGTGATTAATGCCCGACATGCATCCACAACAGTCTGACAAGCATGCACGCGCGCGTTACGTGCCTGCACGCGCGCATCTATGGTATGGCATTGGAGAGGCGGACGCACGTGTTGTTGCCCACGTGAGCAGTGGGCGGGGCCTAAATGGATCGATCTAACTTTTGAAAGTCATCTGACCGTTTTGTATTTTGCTGTCTGTTTGGCAGGAGTCTGAGATGTGTTCGTAACTACATCCACTGGAACCTAGTGAGTTCGTTCATTTTGTTGTACATTGCCTACTTCACGGTGTCGGGTACTGTCGGCGCTGTCAAGCTGAAACCAGGACTATGGGTAGGTCGATTGGGGTACTTATGTAGCTTACTCTCTGATGTACTCTACTCAACAGGTCTTCAGATAAGTTGGAAGAAGCTAGCTGCTGGCTTTATGAATTAACCAAACCCTCCCAATTCCTTCAAATTCTCTTTGAATAGTTATCAGGATAGGGCGAGCCAGCTAGTATTGCTTAGGGAAGTTTGCTTATGCTCCGTATTGACCTCTACAGGTTTTCCTTTTCTTGGGGAGCGGGGGAAAACGCCCTATTGACCCAAATGCCCCTTCCTATTGGCTCCATGCGCGAGCAAGAGAGGGCGCTTTTTGACCATTTTCGAGAGCCCCGTGGACGGAACACTCCGCATTCGCATTCTAAAATAATCAATCGGGAGGTTCGAAGGATCTAAAAGTGTAAAGCAGTGGCGTAACCACCGGGGGGGGGGGGGGGGCGTGGGGGGACGACCGCCCCCCATGAAACCTTGTCGCCCCCCCCCCCAGTCGTCCCCCCCCCCCCCCACACTGAGATTTTGAATTTCTAAAAAAAATTATCATTGATCTACATGACGCCATGGGCGTCAATCCTGGGGGGGGGGGGGGTGTGACAGGGGGACATGTCCCCCCCCCCTTTTTGAAGGGTGTTCCCCCCCCCCCGGATTTTTGAACTCGTGTCTCATTTACAGGGCCCTATTATGTGCTACAATGTATCTTTTGCTTAGAAAATATTGGTTAAAGTGGTCAGAAATTGCCTCAGATAGCACCACAGAGCATTTAGAATCCAAATTTTTCGGGGCCCTTAAGCGGGCCCCGAACCCCACGCCTAAAGCTCAAAATTCTGGTAGCTGATTCAATGACTCCAACCTCGAAAACAATGTTCACAAAATTTTCTTATGCCTTTAGCTGAGAAAACCTCGAAAATTATGTTTAAATTATTATCTTTTGTGCTAAGATAATTATTGGTTAAAGTGGTAAGAAATTGCCTCAGATCACACCACAGAGCATCGAGAATCCCATTTTTTTCGGGGCCCTTAAGCGGGCCCCGAACCCCACGCCTATAGCTTAGAATACCGATAGCTGATTCAATGACTCCAACCTCGAAAACGATGTTCAAATAATTATCTTTTGCTAAGAAAATAATAGTTAAAGCATGGAGGAAAGTGGTAAGAAATTGCTTCAGATCACACCACAGAACATCTAGAATCAATTTTTTTTCGGGGCCCTTAAGCGGGCCCCGAACCCCACGCCGTAAGGGCTTCGCGCTCGCATCAGTTCTGATCAAGGTATGTCCGCCCCCCCCCCCACTTTTGAAAAGCGATTGACGCCCCTGCATGACGCCCCCCCCCCATGAAATGTTCCAGCCCCCCAGCGCCCCCCCCCCCCCCCCCCCCACTGAAAAATTCCTGGCTACGCCACTACTGTTAAGGAATAAATTTTGGAATCTTCTCTACAAAAATCCCTGCGGAATTGAAATGTTTCAGATCATATGTTTGGCCTCAAAAAGTGCGCGATTCGGCCAGCTTGTTTTCGAATTGTTACGGATAGTAGGTTTTCACCCCGAGATTGAGGGGTCTGTCTAATAAGTGATGCACACATTTGGCAGTGACCGGCAGGACTTGTCGCTCTCTCGCTTTCACAATTGATCAAACTGCAGTCGATTGGAAAACTCGCAATCTTGCTCTTGATGGAGACGAGAGCAAACCTCTCCCCTGATTTTTCTGTTTCTTTTATGTACGATTCGCTGAGCAAGTCACCTCTCTAACAAGAATGACACTAGGTTCGTTAAGTCTGACCCGAGAGTGGGTGAAAGGTTTGTTTCTGTTTCCACAAGTATTGCTAGTGTTGTGTGCCTGCGGAAGAAAACGAATGATGGCTAAGGTACCGCACTACCTGTCGGTCAAATCAATTATGTCAGGCGAGGGTTGGGCGGAAGAGTTCAGTCAAAAGTGAAGAGAACAAACTCAATTTTAATCCAGCATCTGCCGAGACGTATTAAGAGTTGAAATGGGAGATTATCCAAGTAGATTATTGTGGAGTTGTGGTTGGTTACTATTCAAAGACAAACTCAAAACTCGATGTTGTTCTGTGGGAGAGACAAAAGTGGTCCGGCCTTTCACATTTCTTTGCAAGCACCTAGGGTTAGTGGGCATTCCTAATCAGTTTTTTTTTTTGGTCAAGCATAGGTTTTGCAACCTCATAATCTTCACAGAAATTTGCCCAATATTGCCCACTGTGCTTTTAAAAATGTGATAATACTATTTGTCGATTACAGCTACAATGCTGAAATTTTCAATTGTGAAAGGTGGATAGAGAATTACACATTCCGATTTTTCTCTCCACTTTCCAGTCAATAGTGTTTAGGTATTTTTTCCTTCCCTCCAAAAAAGAGAGGTTTAGTATTGTTCTATACACGGAGGAGAAAAAGTGAGCAAAAAAGTGCATTCGTAGTGCAATACATTTAAACTTTGGGTTCATCAGGGGGAGACAACTTCAGCTACGAAAAAGGGCATAGAAAATCGATATCTCTGTCAGTGACTGAACTAACCTGAAATTGACGTGTGATATTTCCAGTTTGTTGTTTCCTCTGTGACGGAGGGATTGTGCAGGCAAAGTGAATACATGCCCCGTCGACCGTGTTTTAAATCATGATGGAGACAACCTTCCACAACTTTTAACAAGTCAATTAAATTAACAGGGATTGATGTTGTTCAGCTTGCCAGCTGCAATTGAAAACTAATCAAAAGTTTGGAGGGCCCAATGTTCCGATTTTTGCCTTTGTCAAAGACAAACAAATTGATATTTCTTGTAATTGATCTTGTTACTGTAGTTTAGAACATATACAATTAGCGCTTTTTTCCGTCAGTCTTCTTACTTTAAACAACCACCAACTAGTAAAACCTAATTAAGAATTGAATCTTTAAAAAAAGGTTTCGGAGAGACGAATAGCAGCGTGGAACCAGTCACAATCAGTGTAATAATGTATGGCAGTTTTGCTGGTAACCTGTGTTTGCCATAAGCAAATACTCTCATCTGCAATTCGTCTCTCCGAAATTCTTCACGCCGACGCAAAATTCCGTCTTATGAATACTCTCATCTCATTCATTCATTTCAGAAAGAAATTCATTCGGTTTAATCTCGCGGGTTGCCGTATGCGAACCGAGGAGCTTAGTCGTAAATCCTTAACAAACAAAAACAAATCCCTTGCTTCCCCCCTTCTCTGTTGTGCAGTGGATCTGTCGCCTGATGTACGTGATCATGATGTACGCCATGATGACCAACTTCTTCTGGATGTTCGTAGAGGGTGTTTATCTGTACGTCCTAGTCGTAAGGGCACTGACCGTACGGAGAAACCGGTTCTGGATCTACTGCATATTCGGATGGGGTAAGCCTTCTTTATGCTTTCATTGGATTTACCTGGTGCCTAGCTGGCTCGGAACCAGGCTCTGACTTTTATTCATCATGTTTCTGCCTCTTTCAGAAAAATATACTCGGGGGGCCAGTCGGATTCGATCTGTGTTTATAGTAATACAAGGTCGAATGGCAAAAGAGAGGCAAAACTGGAAGGAACGTATATAATGACATCTTTATTCATTGGGCGATCGTATCGCAAACACGCAAAACTGGAGAAAAAAACCACGATAGTTAGAACTGAAAAAGATGCACTCGTCCTTATTTGACGATTACAGAAACCTGCACATCAGATTATTCCAAATTCTGGATTTAGTTCTTTTAATTATAACATGTATTCTTTTTATCAGTTGATTATAGCATTTTGTAATAAGCTAAACATTGATTAGTTTGCAGTATCTGTGAGGTAAAGATTCGACCACTCAATTTTCGTTTAATGTCTACCACGAGGGGGCACAGTAACTTAATTGTCCCTGTTTCAATTCGAGATGTTTTTAGAGGACAGAAATAAAATGGGTTCCTTGCTCCGTTCTCTTTAAAATGACTTAAAGCCAACAAAAACAACTTCCATTCATTGGCTTACTTTTTTTTCAAAATGAATTGCAGAGGCGAAATAAGTTTTTGAGGACTTTGAACTAAAGAATCGTGCCCCTTTGTTTTGCAACTTTATAAACTAAAATGTTTATTCAGTGCCTGTGAGCGTACTTTGGCATGGAAATTGCTTTATCGATGTTGCACGGGGAAGTAAATGGTAGTTCCAGCCATCAAATAAACTAGACATTATCGTCCATGCCCAAAGTAAAGCAGTGAACTCTCCGTACAATTTCAGAAACGATGTCGTGATAACAACAAGGTGAGAAAGTGCAAACTGTCCCCAATCGATTCTGAAAATGCTCGAGAATCGATTCTGAAAATGCCGGAGAATCGATTATAAAAATGCCAGCGGCCCTTAGTTGTCTTCGACCCTTCAGGGGCCTCCCCCTTCGTAACGGCGCTCGATCGCACCACGCCACACGGAACACGTTACCCGTTATACCCTGGCCGACCAAAATTGTTCTTTGATTGAATCGACACTCCTTTCCGTTCCACCACGAGACGTGGCTAACTCAATTTCTTCCAAATTGCGTGCCGGGGAGTTAACTCGTTCATCATATTATTTCGCTGTCTGATTCCTAGGTTGGTTGCCTTTCTTTCCATTATTCTTGCAGTGTTTTTCAGTCAACAGGCCCCGGCCGCGATTCTCTGTTGACGTAGAAACTTGAAAACCGTAAATCAATTTCTTCAAAATAAAATGCATTATCAAAATTGTTTCGCCAGGATAGCAAAAAAGGGACAATAAAGCAGGAAATAGTTTTGCTTGAAGAGTCTGGAAACTAGAAAACTTTTCAGTTACAGAGTGCAAAGTTGTAATTATCCCTGTACCCTTGGTTGAGCTGGAGATGATTCTGAACGTATGTAGGCCTTTTACTGCTGGGGGATTACTAAGCCCCGCCCAATGATGCTTTTACCAATCAAATCCGTGATTAATTTCATTCATGCGTGCACGCGCGTATGACGCGCGCGTCTGGAACAAGTTGTGTGGCGTGTTGTTGCCCTAAGGCGGGGCTTGATGAAGGTCTGTTATCATTGTGCTATGGGGAAGGAACACAAGTCATTGAACGGAGTTTTGTAATGTGGAAAAAAAAAGTGAGACTGCATTTGCGCCTGAAAAACAATTTTTGTTGTTTTTGTTTCAAATTTTTGAGACCGCATCACCTTCGTGTGAACTACGCGAAGAAGATCGGGCAAAGCTTCTCGAAACGTTGAATCGTTTCTACCATGTGATATGAAAGTACTTCAATCATGCCGTGGTTTTTATATTTGTTTGGATACAGGTGTTCCGGTGCCCTTTGTCGTAGCTTTCTCCATTGTCAAGAAAGTCAAGTCAACGGTGTAAGTAGGCCTACATTTTAACAAACACTCCTCCAAGTAACGGTTTTCCCGGCCAATTTCAGCTAAAGAACATCATTTTTTCATCAACAGATTCTTGCAGATATTTCGATTGTGTACATATACATGTACTTGGGCTTCTCTTTCCCTATTATCGCATTCAATTTCTTTTTCGTGCACACATGATTTTGGTTTTGCCATTCACGTTTGTTTTAGTCATTCATGTTCGTATTAGTCATTCTCTAGACTACATTTTCACTACATTTTCACTTTTCACAGGCTACATTCTTCAGTTTAATTTCTACTGTCTTTTCCCAATTTTTCAAATTAAAAGTCATCCAAGCGAACAGGATTTTATATCGGCGTGAGTTTGTCTTTCTCGTTTAGAGTCAATCTATTTTCAAACTCTGAGTGTTCAATTTAGATGTGATATATGGATATGGATTATTGGAGTAGGTATTGCTTTTTTTTTCACTGTAAGTTGTTATGAATGATATTCTTGTTCCATAATCATTGTCTTGATTTGAATAATTCCTTTGAATAATTATTCTGTTATTTTTGTCTATGCCTATCTCCTGAGTCATATGAAATGAAGGCAGGATTTTTTGTTTTTTAATTGTTTTTTTGCTCGTGATTGTGTGTAAAGGTGCTGCTCGTTTTTCTTTATTTCTGTTTATAATTTTTTTTTGACCATTTCAAATTCAAAGTCCACAAAGGTTTATAGAAACAAAGGTATAATCAACGTTATAACATGAAAACAAAATAATTTTGCTTTTGTTTGCTTTATATAGGCAATACGAATCAACAGAACGAATTTGAATACAGACTTGTGAAGAATGTTTGCCAATTGATTAAAGTGAATTCTGATCAACCTCATTCTGGGCCCTTCGACGAATTTGAGTGAACGAAACGACTAGGCCCTATTTGAATTTATTTATCGAAAGTACTGCTCATCTTACGAAATCGAACGACTCTTTTTGATGTTCGAATGCTCATATGAGGGAGCATTCGTCTTAAATTAAACGAATTTGAATGGGCCTGGTGTAAAATTGAACGAATTTGTTTTTGATGAAATTGCCAGGAATTCTACCCCAGATTTGCTTTAAGGAGAATGTCGAGCGTGGTGGCGCTCTTCAACCCGGCATATTATGCCGACGAACATACGATTTTGCCTACAAAAACAATAAATGGGGCGGTGTGTCAGACCCCCATATACCCCCTCTATCGATGCCCGTGCAGGAGGATGTTGGTTTTGCCTGTCGGTTGTCCGTCGTTGTGACGTCACACATGTGAGTGATATGGATTGATCTATAGCATGTGCCCTGTGACGTCATCGCGACAGCCAACCGCCGAGAAATCCAAACATTGAAGCATCTTTTGCATGTGATTTGGCCCGCATTGAATAGTATAATGTCATCAATGATAGACCCTCCGTGCTTTAAGAGATAAACATGTAGTGCAGAAGAGAACCGTTCGCTGAAAGTTGACATCACGTGATCACAACATCCTATTTTCTCTCTAAATTCCAAAGAGTGAAATTAGGGACTAGACGTTTTAGAGTGAAAATCACTCTCATTTTAGATTGAAAAAGACTGAAAAAGAACCATCTCAGACGAAGCTCGAGTGAAAACTCGATCTTTACGATTGAAGGAATTTCACTCTAAAACGTCTAGTCCCTAGTTTCCGACTGTGGGAGTGAATCTTCACTCGAATGGAGAGAATTTTCACTCTTCGGAATTCAGAGAGTTGTAAACAAATGTTACATGGTCCATACCTGCAGTAAACAAATGTTACATGGTCTTTACCTGCAGTTGCTGGGTAGCCAGGGACAATTACTCCTACATCGTCGTCTCGCCAATCTTTGTCGTCATCATAGTCAACCTCTACTTCCTGATTCACATCATGGCGATTCTTGTCACCAAGCTCAGAGCCTCGCATTCGCTGGAGACTCAACAGTATCGGTGAGGAAATGTTCCATCAGCTTGAGTAGCACAAAGGGATTATCCAATTAGTCCTTGTACATAGTGAATAAAAAAGAAACTCCAATGGCAACCCCTATTTTTTTGTAAAAGAAGTTCTGCATGTAGCGCGTTCAAGATCTAGTATTTGAAAGCCCAATTAGGTCATTCGTGGCTTGTTGCTGATCTTGGCACGGAAACGTTTTGTGACGAGCTTGTGATGGACTTGTGGTGGACTTTATAATGGACTTGTGATGTACTCAACTAAACATTGACGCATAATATTCACCACTCTTCTCACAGGAAAGGGGTGAGAGGGACCTTGTTTCTGCTACCCCTGCTCGGCGTGACATACCTTCTGTTTTTGCTGGGCCCAGCGGAAGTGGCTGATGAGCTCCGCACCCCGTCCTTCTATGTCTATCAGTATCTCAGCACCTTACTCAGTTCTCTCCAAGGCTTCTTCGTGGCAGTCATCTATGTGTTCTTAAACCAAGAGGTAATAGCCTTGAATTTCTAAACCTCAGCTTCGTCTGAATAGCTTCTACTTCAAGACATTGTTAGGCCCCTGTCTTGGAGGAACCTATTCTCCCACAGGAGCGTCTTGTAATTCCGTGTTTAGAGACTGATTTAACTTGATATCCGTCCTCACACGCAATCTCAACAAAAGTTTGATCTCCAAATTGCACACCTTGTTTTTATTTAATTGGGACTTTTAACCCAGCAAATTTTGAAATTTTGATTCAAATTCTTTAAACACGAGCGGATTTCAACCTGCTGAATGATTAATGTACCTTTGGCAATTTCTTTTGAGGTTCGTTAGATAGCATTAAAACTAATTAGGACTTTTGTCGGCATCTTTACCCTTAACAGGTGCAGAATGTGATCAAGAGAAAGATCAGGCGATGGCGTGAGGAGAACACCTTACCGACTCGCATGGTGTCTCGCCGAGGTTCCAACACCCGCACCAGCTTCGGTAACCTCGGCATCTTCGGCGGACGTCGGAGTGGTCACAACGGCACCGGAGGCGAAGGCGAGCAGCAGGTGTCTGCCTTCAAACTACCCAGCGGTAACACCTCACCTGAGGTTTACTCCAACGGCTCCAAGGTGCCTCCCTTCATACGCCTGGATGAGGTGCAACCTCTGACGCCGGTCTCTGAGGCTCCAACCTCACCGCCTACCTTGTACTCCTCACTCAGCTCTGGTAACGGTAATGACGGCGAGACGGTGCCCGTGACTGCTGGAGAACTGGATGAGGTTAAAGAAGCCTCACCGTGTAACGGACTGAGCGAGTCACCGGGATCAGATTGCAACGAGCTACCATTACTGTCGGTAAACACCTACGGGGCAACACCACCTGCGAACGGCTGGCATGACTCGTCATCTCACGGTGAGCAGGACTCGGGAGAACCCTCCTCGAAAATCCCAGAAAAGGAATCTGCACAAATAACCACAGATAATATCGACGTCCTGAACGGGAATCACAATAACAATAATAGTCTGTCGCCATGTCTGGTAGCCAGACCAAAGGCAGCTCCGTCGCCCTCCGCCGGGCGTAGCAGGGTAACATTCGCCGACGATCTGGTCCACGAGAACCACAAGAGGCCTGCGTGCTGCGACGCCGGGAAAAACTCCGAGCGATCTCCCAAGAAGAAAGCAGACTCTGAGAGGCCTGCCTCCAGGGGACACTCGGACGGTGAGGATTCACCAGACACGGCGATCGGCAAACAGGACACGCAAAGGAGCCCTCTACTGCCCTGCATTCGTAAGAAACCCTGGGCCTCCTCCAAACCTAATGGTACCATTGCCTTCCCTAAGGCTCCCGAGGGTACCCCTGTTTGACAGACTCCCGAATTGTGAGCGTAAGGTTCCGAACCTCATGAGGTTCTACAACTAGGTTTCAAGACTTATACGAGCTCACCGTGACGCGACAAAACATGCCGTCGTCCCCTCAGGAAAAAAACCTGCATTTTCTGACCGCTCGATCTGTTTCCTATAAACACCAGGATGGTTTGCTTGAGGAAAATGAGATTTCGTGAGATATTCATCAATACAGAGTCGGCCAGAATTTTGATCCACCGTGCCTGCCTGAACGATCGACAGACTAACTTGCATTGGTCTACACGAGGGCAGAAAGTGTAACATATTACCATAAGCTATGTACTCGAGTGGGGTATATGTCCCGGAAAAATGTTTCCGGGAAAATATTTCCGGTAAAATACTACCGGAAAAATATTTCCGGGAGCGGGATTCCTATTTGAACTGTCCAAAGAACTCAAGAGTCCTGCATGGTGTTTTGTTTTTCAACATTGGTGTGACTTCTTTTTTCGTTTTTTATATTGGATCAATCTCAACCAAGTAGTGGGAACAAACGATATTGACCAATTATTCATTTACAGATTCTGACAAATTTTGATTGTATGGATCTCAAATTTAGAGGAGTTTGGATTTATAAATCCCAAATGAAGATGTCTATCACAAAACATGTTTTCTTTTAATTAAACGGCTGCTGGAAGAACAATGGCAGACAAGATTTCTCTCTTTTCAGTGAAAACGATTATAAAAAGAACTTTTTTTCAAATATTTGTTTTGCAACACAGAAACAGAAGTTGATGTGGGAATTAACCAAAAATCCTGGTTTTTTCCCTACTCTGTTATCGGTATTTTAGAAAAAAAGAAGAAAAAAACCAAACAAATGCTCTGAAAGTAAATTGTAAAAAAATTGTGTAATCTGTATATATATTTTTTTCTATTTAAACGAAGCTTATTTTGTGCCTCATCGATATTACTTTTAATCGATGTCCAAAGAAGGTTGTCGACATTCCCGAAAAGAGTTCAGGTAATTGAAATCTGAGAAAAATATGAAAAATGCGAAGGAAATCGAACTTAGAAGGATAGAGGAGTTACAAGCCAGAGAAAAAATAAATGGCTGATCAGATGTAAATTGTCCAATCAATTTAGTTGTTATATGCTAGAAGAGAACCAACTTTTGTCATCTTTTTAAAGAAGTTCTACTTTGAGCGTCGTTATGGGTTTATAAACAGGTTACTGTTTTCTGAGACCTGTTGGGATTGTAATTTAGTCGATGGAAGTGGCTGGTTGTAAAGTCTGTGGTGTGTAAAGTATGTACATTGTATATTATGTAAAACTGAAGAAATATTATTCCATAATCATGTTAGTGCCTATGGTGGTTTTTATCTTGATATTCAAAAGGTGTTTGTCCGAAGTAATATTACTGATGGTGTTGAAAAGCGTGTCAAAAATATAGCACAACGTATTATTGCGAAGTTAAAACGCTGCAAAAAGGCGGGGGAACAAAGATCTGGTCTATTCTTAATAATGGTGCTGAAGTTATAATATTAACAGACTTTGCCACGTCCTACTCATTGGAACTTTCTAGTCGACAAGGTCGATCACTGCATTGATATGTGTCGACACTCTGAACAACCTCATTGCCGACAGACAAAAAGAAGGACAAGCACAAAGAACACGTCGACAATGTGTTTATCTTAATGCGACCTAAAAATGTTATCAAACGTTAACTCAATGGACCGATCCAGTAAGCCCCGCCCACTGCGCACTGGACAAAATAACACGTGCTCCTCTCCAATGCCAAACTGCATTTTCCTGCCGCGCGCATCATACGCGCGTGCACGCACGTCGGACTTTTGTGCACGCACGTCGGACATAAATCACGGCTGTGGTTGGTCAGAACACCATGGGGCGGTGCTTACTGGATCGGTTCATTGTATCCGTGGTCAAGGGCGATATTAACGCGATGCAGTGAAGTTTCACACACTACTTGGGCCTTATATAATATTTTTCGATTTCCTGCTGGGAAAAAGATGTCGAACGTTTGTGCAAAACACCGAAAGACATCATTGCATATTATATTAACTTGTATTTCTGTACTTCCTATCCAGTCTGTGGAATGCTGTGCCATTAAAGGAAAAAAAAGTGGGCCAAGAATTTTGAGCGTTGTGGTGTTATGAAAAGTGCAAAACTATATTGACTATATTACCCACACTTTTCTCGGTGTCGCTTTGTGTATATACATGAATTAAGAACCTATACTGAAATGTTTGACTTTCACAAACTAATGTCTTTAGTTTGTTCGTCCCGTAAACTTGATGCATTCCATTATCTGTTTGTTTACTTCTTAGGGGAGTCTTTAAGTATCAGCTGGTGTACTTGTAAGACACAAAGTTGCTTTCAAAGAAGAGAAAGATCACTTTGAAATATTATTGAGTTATTGCTTTGATCATTTAGTTTTAAGAACTTAGCCAGAACTGTAATATGGGCAAGTTGTCTTTTGTTGTGTGAGGATGTTTATTGTTTTCCTTGAAATAAAGAGTTACAGACTTTTGATTTGTTGTGGTTAAGAACACGTCAAAGATAATAACGGTTTACTTCGTTTCCATTCGACTTGTTAACTTTGATCTGACATGTTTTTTTTTTTGCAAGTGGCCATAAAGCCACACTTTATTTGTAAGAACGTGAAGAAGATGTTATGAAATATTTTCAATGGCTAGCCTCATGCCAACCAAAAGCTGCCGTAAAACATTATTTCTCAATTTAATATTATTTATCTATATTTTTTTCACCAGAAATTATTACTGCAACAAACTCCCCGTTAGTCTACAGCTGCATGCTACTTTGCTTTTATTTCAAAGGAGTGAGAGGGTTACATTACATTTTTCCCAATTCTTTTAGGATGATATGAATAAATAATGTCGTTATTATGAAAAGTAGTCTCGTTTCGAGTTCCTCTGATTGTGTACTTTGCCAACAACTTCCAGCTAAAGTAACAACGTAGTTTGGCTTGAGTGAATTAAGCTCTAAGAAGTAGGCCCTACGGAGACACCGCAATTTTTTGTTGTCGAGTCAGATTTCGAGGGAGAAAATTGTAGCCGGGAATAACTTTTACAGGAAGTGCGCCCTCTCTGGTTATTTCGCAGCATCTTGAGTAAGTTTTAATTCCTTATCTGCCATATACCTTCCAATATGTCGCCCTCTAGTGGCAACCCCCTACAAAATTGGACACAACATGGCTGCTACGAGGTACTATTTTCCAATCGTCAATTTTACTTGTTTTTCCTCGCACGTGTCGTTAGAGGGCGCTATCACGAAAAGTGCGTGGGATCGATTATACAGCTATGTGCATTGTTTGGCAACAGCTGCGAAATTAATAATAGCCGTTCAGTTATTAGTGAGACTAATTTGAATAGGACATTCCTAAGTTTGAGCATGGTTTGAGCTACGCAGAAGGGTGGCAAACAACAACTACATGGGCGTACATATGATGTAGTCTATAAATTGCAAGTTGTAGTTTTGCAGTAATTTAGTTCTGAAATCTTGACCACACCACGACTCGGTCACACACGTGCCCCACGTGCATGAGCGGACCACTGGCGACCTTTCGTGACCTTGTCCTGGGGCAAATCTGTGTGCTGCACATGGGACATTGTGACCAGTTGTGTGGACAAATAAACGGTTTGAACATACGCCCACATTCACCGAGCTCACTGACCCCTTCGTTCTGATTGACCATTGACCGACAGACAGCCTTGTCTTTCGCCAGAGAAATTCCGATGAAATTTCACTGTTGACTTTGGAACAATTGATGTAAACAGCTGACTGAAGAACTTGCGAAACTGTTGGGAAGTATCGCTAAAGGAACATCGGAAATATATCTACTGCAGTGTTCATTGGAGTTGTGTGGAGATTGTGTTTTGCTGGATTGCAGGATATATATCGTCATCTGGGGCACTGCGTTGCGTAACGACGATGAAAACAATGGAGGTGAGTAGATTACTAATCGCATTATCGTCAACAGCAATGTTGTAACGTATGGCAAGTGAATTTTAGCATGGAATATTTGCCATGTTTTTGTGATGTTTCTGTATTCGTGCACGAGGCATCATTGTGGCAGTGTTTGCTGTATGCCTAATATACATGATGTACATGTAGAGAAGAGTACTGAGAGTGATGTAGCAACAACGCGTTTGGTATGATAAGCAAGCCCCAAGTTTTGCATGTCTTCAAAAATGTGTAGCATATGAGATGAGGATGTAGCCTGTCCCTGTACCCCGCACCAAATATCATCTGTTGCCCCTCAGTTCTACGGCTATGTTGTACTTGTGTAGTAGGCCTATACCTCACCATGCACTTTCCAAAGCCCCCAAAAGCTGGAATGACCCTCTCAACTTCTGATGGACGTAAGGCAGAAAATGTACCTTATCCCCCAACACATGTCTTACGATGGTCGATAATGAATCGTAGGAATTTATGGGGAATGTTTGGAGTTCTATAAGAATTGTAACCTCCTGTTTTATGTCTGAAGTTGACCAGTACAATGACCTCAGCGGTATGAAATCCTGTGTAGTATAACTTTCTGTTTTGTTGTGGAAGTGTAGTTCATAGGCCTCATTGAGCCAAGACTGCCCGTGCCTAAACTTTTATACTCGACCAGTTTGATGAAGATTAGGGATTGGGTTTAGCCTTGTTATGCGTGCTGGTAATGTCGCTGATAACATGTTCAGAAAATTGTAAGAAACAGATAAACCTGCCCGGGCATGAGATAAAGCAGGCGACACTTTAGGATCATATCTTTGCAACTTCCCTGACCTGATAGGGCATGCATTTATTTTTTATTCATCTGTGAATAAGGGAAGTAAAGCAAGCTAGGGCAAAACTATACCAGGAGAGGAGTTGAGATAGTTGGTGGGATATGCGTGTACTGGCATTTAGAGATTCTTTCTTATCAGACAAATAAATGTAAACATTTCACATTTGGAAACATGTTGACGACGTTAGCTCAAGTGAGATGAGATCGGTCGACAGCAATTCCTCTATATGCAAAATGATATTAAGTATTTGTTTCACTGGTCCAAAGCCAACAAACTTAATCTCAACCCATCCAAGTGCAAAACAATGCAAGTTTACTTTGGGGGAAAAATTCCCCAGAACCACCCTCTGTAATGATTGGTGATAATACACTCGATGTTGTGATAGAAACAAAGTTGCTAGGAGTATGGATTCAGAACAACCTAAAATGGAACACCCAGACCCTCTGGTTTCTCTTCAAAAGTTGTCTATCGAAGCAGTAAAAAAAATGGTCTTTAGAAATCATCTTTGACCATGATTATTCCACCTATGTCTAAATTTAATGTTTATACCTTGAACAACAGGAGGGAAGTCCTGTGGTTCGAATTTTCCAAATCTTGTATTGTCTCTGAGCGTTTTAAGAGCTGTCTTTCCAAAAATATTCGCATGCCATGGAACTTAGGCCAAAAAACCCGACATTTTTTAAGCCTAAAGTCATGGCTAAAAGGTGTGGAAAAAGAACTATCCCGAATCTTACTAAATTACTTAAAATACACACTTGATCTCTGACAGTGTTTGGGATTAGTTATCTAGACCGACATGGTTGTAACAACTTTTACATATTAATGAATTGTACATTGAACCGCAATTCGGCCTTTCGGCCGTGCTGGTTTTCATAATTAAAAAATAAATTAATAATTTCCTATAAATATTTCCTTCAACAACAGAACATATAAGTAAAGCTCAGAGCACAGCCATCAATTAAACCAAGGTAAAGGGACAAAGAATTAAATGTAAGCTTATAATCGGCCACGATATTCGATATTATTGCCTTTCCGTCTGTTGCCATGAATATGAGCTGGTATCTTTTGGGGATTTTCTGGTATGATTTATTGAGGGAGAGAGCAACTGTATATGATGGAATATGCATCATAAATTCCAACCCAAGGCTGAATTAAATCTCTTGATGTACCAGACGGTATGCAGATTCAATTTTATTATCTCTGACTCAGGATTCATACATTAATTGACGTTTCTCTTGTTACAGGTGAATTGGGAAATAGTCGGTATATTATATTACTGTGTTCTCAAGTCGAGTCTCGGATTTCTATTATGCATTTCTTTGGATTAAATAACTGTCTGCTGAAGTACTTTGTCGGCCGTTGAAGTACTTCAATTTTCGCTTATCGTATTATAAATCTCTTTGTTCGTATCATTAATCTAAGAATGATCTAAGCCTTTATCTTACACTTAAGTTCTTACTTTGCATGTACGAAAAGTTGCTTTCAATGTTGTGCTTATATTGCAATTTTTTTTTACTATAACTGTCAATATGTACCGAGTTGAATATTTAGCTGTAGTCAGCTATAGGTGCCAGTTTACTATTTTCAAAGAGTGTATTGTTGTCAGACACTCAGACAACGCTTTGTTTTGCAATAGTAGCACACTTTTTCTGACAATCGATCACAATAGAATACTCAGGGTCTGAAGAAACAATGACTTATAGCTTACATTTGTGTACAACTTTGTTTTTCTCCGAATATCCGTTGCTGTCTATCGTTGGTTTGTTCAAAGCAAACTGAAATCACAAGACGTCCCTTTGAAAGCAAACCTCTGCTGCAATGTTTGTGGAATGGTATTATACTTTATCCCATCAGGAATTATCCAATGTATGTTCAGCTTCATTCTCTATTTTGTGGTGAAGGCCTAATCCACGCTGAATGAAGATACTCTTATGTTTGACCTTGTTGAAAAGTCTGGCGGACAGTTGGCAACATAAATAACATCATGCAAAACCGTGAGATATGAAAACATTCGACTCATGGGAAGTGACATCGTTCCGTGCGGTGGCACTTTAGTTCTCATTGAAAGACGGATGGTCGCCCAAGGACAGTGCCATAGTAATAATATATTAGTAATAATATATCGTATCACATAATCACGGGTTTAATTGTTATAAAACTGATGACTGTTAGACCTTATGCCTGAAAAACAATCGTATGTTTATAAACCTGTAGTCGTGTTGGAGTTTTTGTAGTATATAGTTGTGTCTTTTTTCATGATTCCATATTGCTATTAGGTATAATCGCCCACGAACTTACGAAGGAATAAAGATACAATAAAAAATATATATATATAATATAAGAATATTTGTATTCCTATTTTCCTTCATGAATCACCAACACCTTTCTAATATCCATATCAAAATGATGAAACTGAATATACAGCAGTCGCCTAGTGAAATTATGATTTGAACTAAATTCACCCATTTTGTGTATTACTACTTTTTCTGACTTTTTTTTTCTTCAAATGGATGAAACGTTTGATCTCCATGATAAGAACGAACCATTGCTTTATGGTCCGATTTCGTGACGTAGTTCTTCTTTCTGCTATGGCTGTAAACCCTTAAAGGGAAGATACAGCATTTGCAAACATCAAAAAACGAAATGATCAAATTATCACGAAACTAAATGATCTTACTTGCTTGTTAAGGAATGCAGTCTAAAGCATCCTGTAAAGTTGTGGCTCCCGGTGTGCTGACATTTTCAAGAAAAACCGACCAGCGTTGGAGAAAACTGGCTTTTTTTTTCAAAAAGTGCTCCTAGTTTTTCATATTTAATTCGTCTGCATTTTCTTTGCAATTGATTACACGCCTGTGAAGACTTCAAGCCTGCTAGACTGATTCTCTGATCGTACAGTTCCCCAAAGTCTATAAATTGCTCCGTTTCATCTTAAGTGGGGTCTGGGAACCTGACTACAAGAATATGATTGGTTTTCTTGGTTTTCTACGAACCCAAAACGCGAAACAAGTCAGTGTAACAATATTTGCTGTAACATACTAATCCTCCAAATCCATTTATTTCTGAAAATTGCAGCAAGCAAATGTTGTACATTCTCTTTAAGTGATTATAAACTGTTGCAC